TCTCCTTCTTGTATTCCAACCATTGAAATGTACAAAAAGCTGCCAAGACTTACTTCAGCAACTAACTTTATTTATCAACTCATGCACATTAACAGCATCATATCTTGTTCTATAGACACCAATTCATGTGATGAGAAATTATGGACTACAGCAGTATATTAATCCCTCAAAACTGCTGAAAGTTACTGGCATATAGACAACAGTTAACACCATATCATAATTTTTTCATCTTTTCAAAAGCAGCAGCCCATCACAATAAACACAATTTGTATGGAGAATTCAAAAAAAAATAAATATATATACATACTTCTTCAAAAAATTCAGACCCTCAGGATATCTCATCATTGTCTGTTCTGTTGATGGATGGCTGTATGTACTGGCGGGGCCAGCAGGTCTAGTGAAGATTGATGATGAGAATTTCCTAGATCCATCATACCTGGAAAAAACACCGCAATGCAACTAGACATTTATCCATATAACAGACAAGAAAACACATGGATTTGCTCCAGATAAATAATACAGAATCACATTACAAACTCATGGATATGCATTTACATGAGGGTTTTGGTTATGGTACGTGTCAAACAACATGCCATAACAATTTACCCCACTTCTGCTAAGGAAATAAAAAATCTAAAACCAAGTTATTATTACATCATGATTTAGTTTGCTCATCTCCATAAGGATAAGAGGTTCACATCTACTGCATGCTGCCCCTAGAGAAGTTCACTCTCACAGTCTAAGAACAACTATTTATCAAAACGGATCCATGTCATAAAAGAACACATCGTAAAAGTTTCAGCAAAAGTTTAATCATAGGTCACAACAATGTTTTGTCGAACCCCAATCACTGTCTAAAAACTTGAGACATCGGACAAAATTACCATCTAAGAAGACATTTATAAGGCAATCTAACCAAAACTTGTACGTTGGGACAACATATTTACACTAATCATAGGTGAGCAGAGCACCAGTTCTGTGAGTAATACAAAGTCAATGAGTAAGAAGCTTGAAAAAACATCAAATCTACGTTAATCATATCATCTTGAATCATAAACCACAAAAACAAGAAAATCTGTAAACCCATCTCCACTTATCCTCAGATTTAACCCACCAAACATGGCAAGTTACAACAAGTGACTTCATGCAACTCTTCAACTTTGAAACAATAAATTATCAGATAACTTTAACTTATAACACCGAATAAGCATATCAGAATGCAACCCCATTACAAAACCAAACAACCACACTGAACCCATATGCTAGAAAACATGATCTTGAAATTAAATCCCATCCACAGAATTACAGTGAACTATAACGAAAGTATGAACCCTACCGTCTGCAAATCCGAGAAAATGCTTCTGAATGGCTTCTCGAGGAGGAAAAAACAATTCGTGAAAACAATGGCATTTTTCACAGCTTCCTTTTCACCGTCTGTTCGTACCTTATCGCGAAAGTAATCTCTAACATTCTACCATACTGCAAAGAAAACAAATAAAGTGAACCATAACTTCATTTTTCCTTAATTCTCTTTCAAAAGATGAAGTAGAGGAATTTGACTCTAGTGTATAACCTAGAAATTGAAATTATATTCGGAGGGTTTTGGGTTTAAAGCCAAACGACGTCGTAAGCTAGCTTTCTTTCTGCACACGAACATTTCAGAATTTGGATTTCTTTTTCTACACGAAGACGACGAATCTACTTGACCCGGGCCCGAGTTGTATTTTGTTTAGGGTTGACATAATGGGTTGTTATGCGTCTTTAGGTGTAAAAAAATTTGCCAATTAAATTCGAGCCAATTAAATGGCAACAAGTGTCAAATTTCATGTTAAAGTCAGTTTAATTTTTTATTTTATTTGACAAATTTAATCAAATTTTAATTCTTAAATTAAATAGTTAATTAATTATTTATTTAATATATATTATTGCTCAATTAAAGAATCCCACTTGTATATTTTGAGGGGCAATTAAAAAATATCACATATCATTTGTTTGGATTGTAAAATAAATAATTATTTCTTTTAATAATTAATAAAGAGATAAATATTCATGGACTCTTCTTCTAATTATTCTTTAAATAAATATTAAAGAAATAAATATTGAAAATTATGGACCAATCAAATTGTCGTCTTCTTTCCCAAGACTCTCTCTCATAGCATGTATAAATAGGGGTTCACCCTAATGTCAAAAAACACAATTTATATTCACAATTCAAGTTCCAAGTTCAAGAGCTCTTGAGAATTATATCAACGATATTCAAGTGTTCTTCAATCCGAAGGAAGATTGAAGTAGTGTGTTCATGCTCAAGACCGACGTTCATTCTGGAAAAAACTGTCAAACCTCCGAATTACGATACTAATGTCAAGATCGGTGAGAGAAGATCGAATATCAACTTTGCGGTGAAGACCAAAGACTCGTGTTCTTCACGTTCTTGGGAAATTACGGCGTACGATTCAAGATCAAACTGTCAAGCTATCCAACAAATGTTATTTAAATTAAAATTCAAGACATGTGGAGACTTTTTTTTTTTCCACAAACAAAGAAATTTACATTAAAAACTCAACAAGCACAGTACAATTGATCAGTCCACTGGCTACAAATGTAGATATTCTAGAAACTAGAAACCTAACACACGGGGAGGCCAACATCTACCTCCCCTCGGCAGTCTCCTCGGCTACATTCTTACATAAAGAGTAGAAACGGACAATACAGACAAAATTACAACACTGGAAAGAAGGAATGAAATAAAATATATCTTCTGCTACAATGTTATAAGCACAGTTAAAGGAGTCTTACTGAAGATTCGTATCCATAAGTCTCAAGTCTATTTGAAAAGCATCCTATAAGAAATTAACCAGAAGGATAATAGAGATTTGTATTCCAGTATATTTCATTTGATCCATTAAAAATCAATTTGTACGAATTTTTCGTGTTTATTAAATCAAGATATGAAATGTTGTTGTTACAGGGCCATAACAAATGAGTTTTTGGTAGAGGTGGCAAAACACGGGTCCAGCCTTGCCCAGCGGTCCGCCGGGCTAAAAAATGGGGAATTGGAACCAACTATTGTTCCATCCAAAAATCAATTGGTGTAAGGAGGAGTAACCCACTAAACTTATAAGTTGAGCCTATTTTACCTGCATAAACTATGTTGGATAATCCACAAGAGATGTTATATTTCAATATAATAAAAAGGTTATTAGATTTTAAATAAATGCATTTATGGTAACCAGTATCGACAAAATAATTAAATAAATGAAAGTGGAAAAAATGTTAATAAACCTGAATGTGATTGATTTAATAGAGCATTTCCAATGATTGAAGTGAATTGTTGTCTATATGACAATTAAATAGATGGTCTTATGTCCACGTGAATTGAATAGATTGACATGTTCAAAAATAACACTCTTGTGTTGTTTATATGGTAATTAAATAGATGACCTTCTGCCCACGTGGACTGAATAAAATGATATGTTCATAAATAATTCTCTAATAGTAAATGTCTAGACATGGTAAACAAAATTATTTTGTTATAAAAAAGTCAAAAAAAAAAAAAAAACTTACAGGTCGAACAAACTTTGAACCATGAAATCACAACACTTTTTTTAAATGTCTATACACGGTAATTTTTGCATACCTTTGGCAATCTCATTCAAAGTGACAAAACATTATAAATTATTCTTGTATTGAATCATAGATT